CACAAGAGGTGTACACCAAAGAGCATGCCAGTGTTCCAATAAAACTTTATTGGCAACAAGAGGTGGTGCAGCCGATGTCATCCACGACTCTAGCTTGCTAACCGTGGGGGTAGGGCATAATGTCCTACCCGAAGTAGTTTGGGTTTTATTCCAAGTGAATAGGTAGCCATCGGAAGATTTTGAACAGGGCCTGCTTTGGCTTTAAAGAGATTTCCAGTGACATCACTTGCAACATAAGAACTTACTCATCTATTACCATGATGAATTCTGTTTTAAATTTTTTCTTGAAAACGGAGGACTTGTGAGTTGGGGAGGCAGGTTGTGGGGTGAGGGCAGTGGTTAGTAGTTGTCTATAACATTTACTAGTTACGTAGCCTTAGGTTAATTGCTTAATCTCTTTGAGTCTCAGTTTCCTTTTTAATTTAACTGTAATAATAACAACACCTGTCTCTAAGGATTATTAAGTGGATTAAAGGAGAGCATGTATATAAAACATCTGTCACGGTGCCTGGCAGGGTAAGACTCAGTGATGTAAATCCCTTTTCCTCTTATTTCCAATGAACTTGAATATGTCCTGCTCCAGTCAAGACAGCAATGAATGTAAAATTTGATAATTGTGTTCCAAAAATCAATTGCACAATTATAGGATAGGTGAGACATTTCGCATCATTGCATAACTGGGTGACTTGGCTACTGAAGTAGCAATCCAATTCAGATGGAAATTAACAGCAGCACAATTTATGATTACAAAAAGGTTGAATCTATTTGTATTCAGCTTTAGTCAAACCACATTTGCAGTCCTGGAAATAATCCGGGGCGTGTTAATTTGAGAGGAATGTTCATGAGTTGAAGAAGATCCCAAGGAGAATGACAAGATGTGGAAGGATTTGGGAACTGTCTCTAGAAAATGTTTAGTGTGGGGAAAAGAAAACTTGAAAACGGTACAAGTAGTTGAGGGATTGTCAGAGCAGGGCAGGATGAGACTCACATCACATTGGTGTAGAGGTAGGTCTCCTGGGGTCTGCAGAGATAAGATTATTTTGCACAAACATCTCCATGACAGAGGTAAGCTCTCCAACCATACAAGCATTCCCGAAGAGACTGGGCAGTATTCGGTGGCTGAGAGATTGTATAAAGGATTTTTGCAATGAGAATCCAAGTTCTGAACATAACTTCCTAATTTCTGATTCCATAAACCCATGGGGTACAGGAATCACAGCATTGATTGGAGAGTCCCTCTTGGATACCGGGGCCAGGATCCTTTCCTGGAGGGCTCTGTAGATCGGGGACTGAGACACGAGAGAGATAGAGAGACTAACAGAGATAGAGAGACTAACAGAGGGATGTTGTGGGGTGTGTGCATGGTGCAAAACCAGAGTGGGTCGTCTCTCTTTAAATTGGATCACAGTAAATTTAATGTCACTGAAAAATGGATGGAGATTAAGAGAGAAAAAAGGACCTCAGAATGTTCTTCCCCAAAGCATCCCCAAACACAGGGTCACACCCCGTCTGCTTGCCATCCTCAACAAGGCCACCCATGTCTTACCTGGAAGGCTTCAGCAGCCTCCAACTGGCCCTGATACACTGCCTTTTCTTTCTTTCTTCCTTCCTTCCTTCCATTTATTTATGCATACAGGAACTGGGGTACAGGCCAGAGGTGCAGGGGATGAGAGGTTCACCAGAGACAGAGTGGGGGGCAAAATAGGTGGCTATATTGAAATCCACTGCATAGGGGAGCAGCAGGGAGACAGGAGAAGTCTGCTGCACCATGTGGGTCACCTTCCTGGCTGGGGATTGAACTCAGGCTGCAGTGGCTGGTGATAGCTTGATAGTGCTGTGTCTAACCCCTGCACCACCAGCGAGGCCCCCGCATTGCCTTTTCTTCAGAGCACATGGACAAGACACTACCAGGGAGTGCTATTTGCTTTGCCTGTCCTTTCTCCCTAAACTGTAAGCCCCATGAGGGCAAGGACTGCATCTGTCTCTTGGCTGCTGAACCGTGACCTATGGGAGATGCTCCACCCGTGTTTATGGAGAGAATGAGGAGTAGCTCTTTTCCTGAAGTAGAATATGGCTGCATGAAACCATGGTCCCTGGATAGGCCTGGAATTCCCAGGGATGTGACTTAACAGTGACTTCCAGATAGTGCACATATTGTCCAGCGCTAAACCTGGCTGTTTTAAATGAGTTCAATGATACGACTTATCATTTAAATGAGTTAAATGATACGACTCACATTGTATTTGATCTAAAAAATCTGTTCTTCAGATATCCTGAGCAAAAGCGTTCTGGTCTGTGACTGATGGTTGAAGACTTCCCAGTTGGTGCCCAGCCAGCTTTTCAGTGATGGGAGTTGGGAGTTGGTAGGCGACCTTAAGAGAGCTCAGGGGAGAGGGGCATAAGAAAGGGGGTAGGGAGTGAGGGGTGGGATGGAGGACAAAACTGCAGGAATGAGAAGGGACTAGTAATAAGCGTCACCTGGGGCTGCACTTCACCGTCCTCTGCATGCCCAACACAGACCATTGGGAAAAAAAAGTCATGCTGAGGAATGAGAGCATGTGAAGGGTCAGGGGCTGGCAGGTGATGGTAGAGATTCCCAGTCATGGTGGCATCACCATGGGATCCACAGACATGATGAAAGGTGGGTATTTATTAAGTGCAGACTCCCAGGCTGGAGAATTGAAAACAGAAGGGAAAGCATCTTGAGGATATGGTTTGCTATCTGACACCTGTGGCCCAAGGCAGTCCTAGGTCTTGTGGGGCCTGAACCCTAACAGTATTTGGGGGGACTCTTTAAGAAAAAGAATCTAAATTTTTAACATGAGATTAAATCCAAGATTTTAAAAGGAGTCTGTGCAAGAGACAAGTCATGGAGTTTAAGCTTCTCTTGCATCACCGTGCTCCCATCTCTGGCAAATGCCAAAGTTCCTTAATTAATATAATTTGAAAAGTGCCAGAGTGGAAATGAAAAAAATGTTCATTTTGGAAATCACGGGAAAGGTAGTGATGGGACAGAGTTAAGGAGACAACATCAAATACAGCTTCAATGGAGCCATAAGTCTCATCATGAACATTGCTCAAAAGACTGATTCTACACCAGTTTTTAATTCCCTTTTGTTAAGAAAAATCGCCTTTCTGTTAAAATGTCTAAAAAAAAAAAAGGTTTGCTTTGAGTGCAAATAAACAAATAAGCCTGCGTGTAACATAAGCCGCTTCCAGGCTGGGGAAGTCTTTCTAGGTTCTGCTGAATGTTGTTGTCAGGGTGATAAGCTGTGTGTTTTTGGATTTAGAATAAAAATTCCTCTAGAATATTTTATAATCTGGTGATATTGGGTGGGTGAGGGTGGGTGGAATTCAGAGGGCTTTTCTCTTTTTTTCTGCACCCTCTTTCCTCTTGGATTTTCCTGTGTTTCAGAACCAAAGGGGGAGTTTGTGAGAAGCTTCTTCTTCCTTTAGTTGCAGCGTGATAGCATCCCGCTGAGACCAGGAGGCCGGCATGCAGCGGAAGGACAGACTGCTCCCTGCTAACAATCTGCTCTACTAACAGCCCTGTCACGTGAGAGAGGGCTTATAAACAGTCTTAGCCAAAGGGGAAACTGAGGCATAAGAAAATAAGCAACCCGCCCAAGGTCAGCTAGCAAGTCGATGTTGAAACAGAACATTCTGGCTCTAGCAAGGTCTGCCAAAGGTCACGTATTGAGGAAAAGGGCCTATTTCTGGGCAGGGAAAGGGGTGCGTGACCCAATAGGATGCTTTGATTTTAACAGATAAAGGCATTAGGCCAAATGGAGGTGAACGGGAATTAGCGAACACTGCAGAGACTTCGCCATTGGACTGAGCGCTGGCAGAGGGAAAACATTAGTGATTTTGCAAGAATGGAGGGTGAGCTCTGGGGCTGAGTGAACAGGACCGACGTGTGGCAAAGAGAGCTGGCTCTGCTGTAGGATGGGGGCGGGGAGGGATTGGAGCAGTACCCCGAAGATCACAGGCCCTCAATCAATGTTTGTTGAAGGAATTTGCAAAGGAGGCCGAGTACTAATGTGGCCTCGATTTGATAACTACCATTTTCCTGGCTGCCATGATCCTGGCGTGGGACGCAGGCCAGGATTCCAATAAGCAAAAACAGACAATGGGAGGGACACAGGAGCGGAGCGGGGAGCTGGGCAAGCCTGCCAGAAGCAGGGACCCAGTGGTAGTAAAAGCAGCCTGAGGTGGAAGAGGAGACTTGCTCTCCTCTTCCCGCCCCCATCAACTGGGTTGGGGGGTGGGCGGCGGGAAGGTAGTGATTTCAACTGTTTCATGAAAAATGACCTGAACGCTTCTCTGATCCTGGAAACTCCCCACCTAACGCAGGCCAAGGAAAACAGGATTAGGTCTTATTACTTCTGCAAGGGCTTTGCATCTTCACAGAATGAGTTAAACTGGAGGGCCGGAGAGGTAATCTCCTTCCATTGTCCCAGCAGATAAACCAGAAAGTCCTGAATCATTTAATGGGTTAATAAGACAGTTTTCCTGAGGCCCCTGCAGACACTGGGGTTTTGACTTCCTTTGCCTTTCACACAGACACCTCACTTCCTCCGACAGGCCCTCCGAAAGGTGAGTTAGTGCTGTCAGATGCAGACTAGCAAGTCACCTCTTCTGGCACTCTTGTCTCCTGACAAGTTACTGATTCCAGGTGTGCTATTTCCATCTGACTTTCACAAGGGACCAGCTCTTCCCAACCGCAATGGCCCAGAGGCCAAGATAAGCTGTCATCCTCTGTGCCACCTCACGGGGTGGCACTTCTCAAGGCTTTCACCTTTGATTTGGGGGGGGGGACACACTTGTTTTTCCTCTCTGTGCCTGTTAAGTTTGTCCAAAGTGCCCATGAAAGCAAGTATCAGGGGCTCCGTCTGCCACCACCTGTTCTGTGTGCAAATGCCTTGATCATCCTTTTAAGGGGAGAACAAGACGAATAAGTCCAGAGGGCCGTTTTCTTTTTAATGCAATGTATATTTATTGTAAACAATAATATACAAAAAAAGAGAGAAAAAGAGGAAAGGTAAGTTTCACAGAGAGAACATAAGGTTTGGGGGGTGGGGAATAAGCCAAACGAACAAAACACAAACACAAAGCAAACCTTACCTAAAGACAAAAATATGATTTAAATGCCAGGGTTCTTAAGTTACAGAAATATTTTTTTTTTTAAAAAAAGATCAGCTTTTATACAGAAATCGAAAGATGCCATATTATGAGTGCTTTAAGATTTTATTCTACTGACTTCTAAAAACTGTTAATATATCTTTTTTTAAATAAAAAAAAAAGTTTGCTGTCTTTTTTAAAAAGCAATCCCCAAACTGTCCAGCCACAGCAGTCATGAAGAATGAAGGTCTGTCAGTGGGCCGAGTCCCTCCCAAGTTTTCTTCCCTCTCTCTCGAAGAGAACATGCAGAGGGCTTTGGATTCCACATGGGCCTGTGTCACGGCTCACACACCACGGAGGCAGCCCCAAGATCTGTGGCAGAAAATACTACATGACTCAGTGATACACTACATTTGCAACCTCTCATTTGTACAAAAAGAGAAACAAGTTTCCAGTTTGTTTTCAACAAAAAACAACAAAGAAAAAAAAAAAAAAGGACAGACATAGGCATTTATACAAATCTGGGACAAGGCATCCAAAGAAACTTGCTTTTAATAATAAAAAAAGATTAAAGAGATAAATAAAAAAAAAAAACTGGTTACAGTTAAGAACATAATTTAACAACAGATGACCATACCCTTTGAGGAAGGCTCCAACAACCTATTTTAAAGAAAGTAAATTAAAAAAAAAAAAAAAAAGGAAGTTTTTTTTTTTTTAATTAAAACCTCTCCTTACAAAATAAATAATTTTAGCACATGGACTGTCTTGAAGGTTAACTGCTGGTGTACAGAGAGGCACAGGTGACTTAAGAGAGACACCCCCAGCATCTGTGTCCCACATGGGCTGGGCAGGCAACCAGGGGCCGTGTGCTGAGGCACTTATTGGCTGCTGAAACATTTCCCCAACTGATTCTGTCTCCTTTGCTTGCCTTTTGCGTCTCAAGATTGCAGCAAACAAGCAAGTGCAAGAGGAAATGCACTAAAAAGAGAACACAAGGACTTCCCAGCAGCAGGGTTTTAAGGCTCAAGGTGGTCTGCTCCTGTTTAAAAAAATATATATGATAAAGCTTACCAAATGCATCTCTAGACTGTGTTTACTTCCATTTTTTTTTTTTTTTTCAAAATAAGGCCTCTTTTGCTTTCTAAGGCAGCTCCTCCTTGAATCAGAAAGCCTGAGGAATTGAGCAAAGCTAACCCCCCTCCCAACTGCTCTCCTAACACATACTTGTGTTTTTTTTTTTTCTCCTGTTAATAAACAACACACACACTTCTTTTTTTCTTTTGTAAGAGAAAGCAAATCTGTACAAAAATACTCTGGTTGCAAGGAAAGCTAGCGCACACTGTTCCACTAAGTTGTTTAGCTGTTGGAAAAATAAGAGCATTTAATTTTTTTTATCTAAAAATATGTATAAATCCCCTCAAAATGGTAATGAATCATACACAGTACATACTAAAAAATATTTAAAATAGAGAATATTCCTCACAGAGGACTTTTTTCTTTAATTACTGCTAAAAAATAATTAAAGTCCAAACAGGCAGAGAGATTGAGGAAACTGGTCCCACGATAACCCTCGTCCTCCACACCGCCTAGAAGAAGGTTTCAGTCCAGTTTCTCTATTCCGCTGGTTCCTTCTCGCCCAGGTGGCCTGGCCACCGCTTTGCAACAAGGTGGTGCTGGGGTGGAGAGAGAATGTTCTGTAGAAGAAGTGGGGTCAGCGTTGTTGCCTTCAGCATCCAGGTCTTCCAAGAGTACGACCAACAATGTCCACTGCAAACTCTGGTGCAGATTCTTCGGTTCTTCTTCTGCGCTTCGCAGCCCTCTGGCCTGGCCCTTGGCAGGAAGGTCACCTCAAGGTCGGGTGAGCTGTGTGTACACGGGCTGTTCCCAGTGCTGCGGGCTGTGGGTCTGCGGGATGGAGGGGACCCCCGAGGTGTCGGCGATGGGGGTGTACATGGGCCTCTGCGCCGGGTTCATGTAGGTGAAGGTGGAGTAGAGGCCGGAGCTCTGGCCGGCCGCGTGGCTGTAGTAGGAGCCGGAGTTCTGGTGCTCTGCGTACTCGTACTGCGAGCGCGTGATGGGCGGGTAGGACGGGCTGTAGTGCGGGAGGTTGAAGGGGCTGTAGGCGATCTGCTGGGGCGAGTGCTGCTGCTGCTCGCTGTAGTGGCTGGGGCTCAGCTGCTCCGTCTTGATGTGCGTTCGCTGGGCCTGCCCCGGCTCGCTGCTCAGCGTGGTCAGCGTGTGCGCCTGCTGCTGCGGCGGGGGCGCGGGCTGCTGGGGCGGGGGCGCGGGCTGCTGGGGCGGGGGCGCCTGCGGGGCCTGCGGGGCCTGGGGGGGCTGCTGCGGGGGCGCCTGCTGCTTGGACATCCACACGTGGCCCGCGCCCGCGGGGCTCGCCGCGGTGCTGCTGATGCCGTAGCTGCCGGTGTAGGTGACCTGGCCGTGCGTGGCCGGCACCCCCGGGTGGCCATTGGGCGGCAGGTACTGGTCAAACTCGTTGACGTCGAAGGTCTCGATGTTGGAGATGACGTCGCTGCTCAGCTCCCCGATGTCCACGTCGCGGAAGTCGATGGGGGGCTGTCTGCCCCCCTCGGGAAGGGCGCGCCCCTCTCGCTTCAGGTCAGCCTTGCCCGGCTGCACGTCGGTTTTGGGGGTGGTGGGCGGCGTCGGTGGGCCCTGGGATTGCCCTGCAGGCAACAGAAGAAGGAGACAAACGGGAAAATCAGCAAGAGCCGAGCTGGGGCCCCAGTTAGAGCCCCATGGGGGACCCTCCCTCCTGCCTGAAGAGGCAGGAGGCTCCGGAGACCAGTCTCCTCGGCATGGGAATGGTTAATGAACCCCGAGCGCACGCCTTTTACCCGTCTCCTTTTATGGGGGAGGCTCCAAGGCCCCCCCCACCAGCGCACCCCGAAGGCCAACTGCTTGCTACCTGCACCGGAGGCCTGTGTGTGCTTTTGGGGTGGGGGAGCCCAGAGAAGAAGGGAGAGGTCTTGTAAATCCGTGAGGCCTTTTTACCTTGCAATAAAAATTCATCTGTTGGGATGCAGAGGCTGGGTTGGGCGGTGTGTGCTGAGGGGCGTCGTGGGGCCCGGGCCAGGGAGCGCAGCGGGCGTCCGCGCAGGGGGCACCCCTTTTCTTCCTGGGGAGCGTCCAGCCCCCCAGCGGGGCCGGGGGTGTGTCCCGCGGGGCGCGCGCGCGAGGCGCAGCCGGGGCGCGGAGGGACTCACCGGAGTGCTCGCCCGGGGAGTGCACCTCGCTCATGCCCGAGGAGGAGTGCGGGGAGTCGGCCTGCAGCGCCTTGAAGATGGCGTTCGGGGAGATGTGCGTCTGCTCGGTGGCCTCCTCGGCCTCGGCCTGGCCGTTCTTGACCGACTTCCTCCGGCGCGGCTGGTACTTGTAGTCGGGATGGTCCTTCTTGTGCTGCACGCGCAGCCGCTCCGCCTCCTCCACGAAGGGCCGCTTCTCGCTCTCGTTGAGCAGTCTGGGGGCGCGCGGGGAGAGAAAGGGGGGTGCTCTGTGAAAGCCGCTTCGCGGTCAGGTCGGCCGGAGGGGGGAGGTGGCCCCGATCCCGCGGCCGCTGGGCGCACACCCCCCGGACACACTGCGCCCGGCTGCCCAGCCCCAGCCCCCGCGTCCATCTTTTCTTAAAAAATAAAATAAAAGGACAAAAAAAAATATATATATCTCGCTTCTTTGCGTCCAACCTGAGTGGGTCCCTCCCCAGCCGCCTCTCCGCGGCTCGCCGCTTTGGGGAACCCTGGCGCTGAAACAGTTGCCCGCGCCTCCCGCTCCAAAGCGAGGCCCCTCCACGCGCCCCCACAGCCCTTTAAAACTTTCCCCAAACCTCTCAGACGGCAGGACACTCTTTGCACCCCACCCCCGACCTTCCCCAGCGCTTTACGCATCTCTCCCCAGCAGCCAGGAGGGTCCCCTCTCGCCTCGGCGTCTCCCCCACGCTGCACCCCACCTCTGCGAGAGCGCGCACTTTGAGCGCAGGAGGGCAAACTTCTCCTCCACCCACCCTTGGCATGGAACCTCAAGCGGGGGGCTCCGCTGAGCCGCCCCCTCCCACCGAGCCCCCCACCGGACTTCTCGCGCGTCCTCGCGCGCGCTCCCCACGCCCCCCACCTCTCCCGGGCGCCCTCCTTTCGCGAGAGCCATCCAAGAACTCGGCCAAACTCGGAGCCAAGTCACACCTCGCCCCCGCTCGCCCCGCCGCCCGCCGGCCCCGCGGCCCGCGGCTCCCCGGCGCTGGGAGGCGGGGCGCGAAGGGCCGCCCGGCCAGCACCCGGCCCGCGGCGCCGGCCCTACCTCCAGAGCTTGCCCAGCGTCTTGCTGAGCTCGGCGTTGTGCAGGTGCGGGTACTGGTCCGCCAGCTTCCTGCGCGCCGCCTGCGCCCACACCATGAAGGCGTTCATGGGCCGCTTGACGTGCGGCTTGTTCTTGCTGGAGCCGTTGACGCGCACCGGCATGGGCACCAGCGTCCAGTCGTAGCCCTTGAGCACCTGGCTGACCGCCTCGCGGATGCACACGGGGAACTTGTCCTCCTCGCTCTCCTTCTTCAGGTCCGGCTCGCCCTTGGGGAAGGTGTTCTCCTGGGGCCGCGTGTTCTCGGTGTCGGAGCCGGAGCCCGACGGGCAGGGCGAGCCGGCCGAGTCCTCGGACATGGTGGGGCTGGGGGCGCCGGACAGGCCCTTCTCCTGCTCGTCGGTCATCTTCATGAAGGGGTCCAGGAGATTCATACGCGGGCCCGGGGCAGGGGGCGGGCGGCCGGGAAAGGCGAGCAGCCGCGGCGGCTCGGGGGCGCGAGGCGCGGGGTCCTCTCCCCTCGGCGGCCCGGACGCGGGGCGCGCGCTCCGGGGGAGCCTGGGCGCTCGGCGGCGGCGGCGGGCGCTGGGGAAGGCGCGGGGTGGCCGCGCGGCAGCTGCCCGCTCCAAGTGGGGAAGGCGACTTGGAGAGCAGGCGGAGGGGAAGAAAGAGAGCAAAAGCGGGGGGCGCTTGCACCCCCTTCTCTGCGCCTCCTGCAAAGAGAAAGTTCCTGGGGTGAAACTGGCGACGCGGCGCCACTGAAGTTTCCAGTGAGTTTCAAGCTCCGCTCTCGGCTCCTGGACTCCCAGCCCAGGGGCGCTTTAATAACTACTCCCCGTCACCTTAGAGACGGCCAGCCAATCCCGGCCCGGCGTTTCAGGGGTTGGCAGGCAGCTGATTGGATCGGATGGGGGGGGCGGAGTGTGGCACAAGCGGGGGGGGGGTGCGGGAGGGGCGGGGAGCAGAGGGAGGAGATCTGCAGCCCGTCCCGTGGAGAAGCGGGGGGGCGCGCGGGTGCAGTGGGGAAGGCGGGGGACCCGGGACATCCAAGTGTGTAAGTTTGCCACACTCGCGTAATGTCAGAATTTTGGTGCCGTCTCTGCACGAATCAATCTCTCGCTCTCTCTCTGCGCGCGCTCCAGACCTGCTCCCACTCCTGCCGTTTCATAAACTCTCTCTCGGCGGTGCCTGGGAGCGAGCTAGAGTTTGCAGAATTGGAAAAGCAACCTCTCCTTAACTAAGCGCAGCCCAGTCTCTGCGCCCGGAGCCTGCCTCCCCCGAAAGGGCTTGGAAAGAGCCCCGCGAAGCAAAGGGTTTTGGCGACTCGACGCCCGCTGTTCCTCTGTAATAAGCCACATAAATAGATAGTTCGCCGGGGCCGCTGCGGCTGGCCGGGGCTCGGCTGCGCCCTGGCACAGGGAATCAATGGGGAAAACCAAAATCTAGGTCCCCGCGAAGGCTGGCGGCGCCGACCCAGCTCTGCGCTCCGGGACCTGTCCCGCGCCCCGCGCCCCGCGACCTTGAACTCTGACAAGTCGTTCTCCAGCCGCCCTCCCCAGGCCCCCAGCCCACCGACTGGGCGGCCGCTCCAACGCTCTGCTTCTCCCCTCCCCGCCGAGCCCAAACGGCAGCAGAGTTGCCCCTGGAGAGTTTGCAAGGGCTCAGCATCTGGGGGTCGAGCTCTGCAAAGGTGGCGTCCCCGGGCCGCGACGCGCAGCCCGGCCACTGCGTGTGTAAATGGCTCAACAAGCGGGCACAGCCCCAGTCTCCACTCCCGCAGGGGCGCACGGCTGCCCGCGCTCGCCCGCCTTTGCAAAGCTCCTCGGAGGGGCGAGCTTCTGCGCCCCGGACTGCTGGGGTCGGGTCTTTTCTGACCCGCCGTCTGTAGGAAGCTCTGGGGGAGGCTGTGGGGATGTCTCGGATGCATTTCAAATGCGATTTGAGCACAACCTTTGTGTCTGCACGAATTGCTCGGAGCGCGCTTGGGTATCTGTTCTGGGAGAGAAAAATCTAAGTCGCCTGCAGGTCTCTTGTCTCCAGAATCACAAATCCAGTGTGCACCGCTGTGGAAAAGTCTTAATTTTTACACCCAACACCCTTGCAAATGTCCACCTCGAATTCAGATGGCTGCGAATCGGTTCGCAGCCTGGCAAAGGCTTGTTTATTTCTAATTTGTAAAGTGCACGCATTATTGCGAGACAGAAAGGAATGTTTGCCTTGAAGAATTTTTTAAATTCTGTTTTTCTCTCGTTTTCTTCTCAAGAAATGGACATTTCTTAGAAAAGCCGGAACTCTTGAGAAGGTAGTAAGTTACAACCCTATCAAACAGGGTTTAGCTTGTCCAAGGAATGGAAGCCGCTCACTCTGGATGTCTCTCGAAACTGGTAGCTTGTCTAGGAGTTTGAGACCTCCATGCCCCAGCCTCGTAGTCCTACATAGCTCCGAATACTCGGCGAGGTGTAAGACCAACTGGGGGCTTTCTTGGGGGAAAAATGTCCCGCATTATGTGGGCTGATGTCTGTCTGTCGGGGGAGATGTTTGTGAACATAGTTGCGTGATTGGAATATAATTGTGTGATTTGAACCTGACCCAGGAGGCCATTCAGACAGAAGTTTTAACCAGGATGTGTATATTTAATTGCATTTTATTGTAATTTCCATGTTTGGTGGCATAGAGGTAGTGGAAAAGTGTGATTCTAAGACAGTTTGGACTATTTCCCTGAGTATTTTTCAAGCTCCTGGCTTCCCTATAAAAATATATTTGAAAAACAAATCCCGAATAGGAGAGACCTACGATGCTACAGTTTAATGCACAAACGCCGGCGCTTTATACATTTTCTATCGGTTTGGTGCAAGCTTTTTATAATCTTGTAGCTTTTTGAAATCTTAGGAGAAACAATCAGTGGACTTAAAAAAATGGCCTGCAATTTTCAGCCACATCCAGAGGGGGCACCAAAAGCCCAGAAACTGTCCAGGAGAAACTGCAGGAAAAGCTGGCTGGTGGGGGTGGGGGTGGCGTGTTCCCCTCCACCAGGACTGCTCTGCGGCTGGGATTTATCTCTGCAGGAATTCCTGTGTGATATTCCCTCCCGTGCGCACCCACCTCTGGGGCAGCTCAGCTCGGGGAGCTTGGGAGACGTGTGTGTCCATATGGGGCCGGACCGAATCCATTTGCGCTCCAGAGGCCTGAGACTGTTCGACCCAGTCCTGGGAGTCCAAGAACCCCAGAAGAAGCCTCCATCCCAAGTGGCAAGCGCTGTCTTGTGCTCGGCGTGCCAGGACCGAGCCAAGTCTGACGCGTGGGCACCATCGATTAGCCTGTGGGGCGGTCCCGAATTTCTGCAGGAGCCTCTGATGCCAATCCCCACCCCCATTTCAATAGGTGCCCCCCAGTGTGACTTTCCCGGGTTGCTCGTCACCTCTCCCCACCCCTGGCCCTGGCCTGGTGCTCACAGTGTCGGACTGGAGGACCCGAGCGAGTCGGAGAGTGCCCAAGGGAAGGGAGCTCCCCCCCAGAGCCAGGGTGACAGATCGGGAAACTGAGGCTCTGCCCCTGGGTGTAGCCAGAGCGTCTGCGCGCGCCGGGATCCTCAGCCTGGAGCGGTCTAGGTAGCGACATCTCGCAGGGCAAGAAGGGGGGGCAGGCAGTGGACCACACTGCAAGCGCAGGCTGTGCGCGCTGGGGTCCCCGCTCCAGTGCAAGCGCCGCCAGGTCTGCCGCTGCTAACGGAGACACCGAGGTGTGAGCGGATCCCAAAGGGTGGGCGCACGGGAAACCAGGGTCTGGGACTCCCCGCACCCCCCACCTTCTCTCTCTTTTGGCGCCCAGTGTCGGCGCCAGGCTCAATTTCCCCAGCCAGGGCCGCCAAACTCCCTCCGCGTCTACGCGGGAGCCGAGGCAGGAGCCGGGAGCCGCTGGAGCCGCGGGAGTTTGCCCACTCGGTGCGCCTGCAGCGCGCGGAGCCGGGGTGGGTGCGGGGAAGTTTCAGTCCCGGGAAGAGGGCAGGCGGTGTGGACAGGGGAGTTCCTTCAACCCGGGGGATTGCGCACCACAGCCACCCTCTCCAAAGTCCTCAGTAAAAATGGGGACCGTGTCTAGATCCATTTTCAGCCGGGGTGCATGTCCTAGACGCATTTGGTTGGGGTGACCAGAGGCGTCTCCCCCAGATCTCCATCCTGGGTAACGTCTCCTACAGCGACGATCTGGAAGAGGCTACCCCCTTCTCGCGCCCCTTCCAGGACCCGGCTCCCTTAAGGTAGAAGTCCCCAATCTCTAGCGGGACCCTCAGGTCGGCGCGCCCCGCGCTCTCAGCCACCCTCGGGAATTAGTACCTCTCCTCGGGCGACGTGGGGCGTGTTTGGGGCTCGCTTGTCTCTCGCGACACCAGTTCTCTTTGGAAAGGAGCGGCTGAGAGTCGCGCGGGCTGGACAGCAACAGCCAAGGGGAAGGAGAGGACCAGGGAACTTCGTGGGTGCTCGGTAAATAGCTGCTCACCGACTGAATAAATGTGACCTTTGGGCATTGCGCCCAGTGTGTGTCTCAGGCCTGCAGAGCTCCCAGCAACGCGGGTCCTAAAGCGCACGCGAAGGACTCGTTCCACCTGCGCGTTTCTCCCCAAACGGGCTCCCTATGCTGGAGAACAGCCTCCTGTGTCCCCAGGACAGAGTATTCCAGGTGATTCTTGGAACTGCAGGCCCAGGAAGGTGGGGGGGGGGTGTCCTTTGAGTTTCCTTCCCTTTTCTGTTTTCCAAGAGAATGTGGGATGAGGAGGACCCGAGGACCGCCAGGAGGGGACGTGAAGGGTCAGTCCATCCGCACCCCATGATGACACTGTCCTGGTCGGTCCCTGGGCCCTGGGGTGACTGTGACCCAGCAGGACACACTGGGGTGCAGACCAGAGTCAAAGCCAAGGACTCTCCTGCTTGTCTGGACTGGCTGACCTTGGAGGGAGAAGGAGCTGTGGGAATGCTCTTTAAAAAAGTATCATTCCTTTTCTGAAAATACCTGTTTTTAGTCAAGGTACAAGGGGATGCGCGTCATTTGCGTTTCCTCAACTCATCCCTAGAACAGCCTGCAGGAAATTTCCTAGGCCAAGTTCCACCCCCACCCCCCACTTTTCTGTTTTAAAAATCTTTCAGGCATTTCCAGTTGAAGGTGCGTTTGTCTTGCTGATTTAAAAATGCGAATAAAATAAGCATTCCGTGCCACAGCGCCTGCCCGCCTGCCTGCCTGCCTGCCTCATAGGGGCCTCTGCTCCACGGGGCACCCCACAGCCCAGCACGTGCTTCCTCTGCAGCCAGGAAGGGCACCTGTGCATCCTGCTCAGCAGCTGCCTTTGCTTTAGGGAGTTCAGTCCCAAGGCTGGCAGGACAGAAAGTAGCTGAGATTCTGGGGATCACTTTTGTTTGCTTCCCCCAGGGGGTGGGGTGAGCCCTAGAGCAACGCCTTCACCTCAGCGGAGGGGATCTAGGCACTGTCCCCTCAAG